ATTGGAACGGAGATAACGGAGCAGCTGGCGCAGGATCACAGAAGATTGAATGCTGTGGCTGAGTTGGAAAACGTGAGGTATGACAGAAATAGCTCACAGCAGGCAGGTACGGAGGGGGATATGGAATAGCGAGGGAAGGAGGCGGGTACGCTAGAAACCGCGGCGAAGGGTGGAAATGGGAGAGGCAGTGTGATTGCTGGAGTGCCAGCTTGCTGTTGGTTCTGTTTCTATCACGCGGGTTGCTGCGACAGCCTGTTCCGCTGCGACAGCAACAGGCTTGTTCCTGCATCTGCATTGCATCAATTTGACTGCAGTGTTTGCGAAACTGCGAAGTGCACACAGCAAGGCCTGGGGGGGTTCACACATGGGCAGTGATGGTTCTGAAAGGCAGGGAGGGGAGGGGGGAGAGACGCCAGCTGCAGGCATGTGGACTGCTGTTGCAGTGCGATGGCAGTTCCCTGACCCGTGCGCTGACGTGACTGCCCCACCCACGCAACCTCCTGCCAGTACAGTAGTCGGAGAGGTTGGAGGGACGGATGGAGGTGCATTGGTGATTGGTACTGTACCGTTCACGGAAGGGGAGGGTGTTCCACCAAGCACGGCTGGTCTGTGTACAGCGCTGAGGTTGTACAGTAGTGGCGGCGGCTGTGGGCCCAATCGGGTCTGATCGGCTCTGGCTGATCGGTCGGATTGCTTGTGATCACTTTGCTCGAGCCGCCCGATCAGCAATGATTTTCGAAGAAGTTTTGAAGCTACTGCTCGGCAAACGCAGGAACATTACGTGGAAATTTTCTTCCAACTCACGCGAGATTGGCGACAAAACATCACATGGCGGACGAATTTGTTTCCCTGTAATATCGTCAGCCCCTGGAGAGTTCTAGCCATGTGCCATGCATGAGCGAGGGTTTCACGAGACTTAGCTCAACAGTGTAACATTTCGCAACCGTCGTTATGGCCCTCGATCACATGCAATCAACTGATCGAGGGTATTGAGCAAAATCGAGTTTGATCGGGGTGAAATTCGGGTGTGTTTGAGTTGGGGCGATCAGATGATCGCGATCAGCTGATTGCCCCCGATTGCCTGAAATTGGCCTCCAGGCTTCCTCGAAGTTGTTGATCGCTTCTGATTGAGGCGATTAAACTCGATTGGGCCCACGTCCTGGTAAAGCTGACTTCGTGGCCACCCTGAGAAATCAGAGTTCGGGGTGTGCGTGACCCTTTCACCCTGGTGTCTGGCAGGGTGACTCTCTCCATACAGTTCCGGATGCGCAAACCCCTTCGATTTTCCTTAGTTCTTTCACCCTGGTGTCTGCGCTTTCACAAACCACTGCAGTTAGTTCTCGGGACGTAAAAATAAAGAGCAAATGGTTCAGCCAGATCCTTCGTAAGTTTTACGGCTGCCAACCATCACACACTAATACTCGCTGGTAGTTCTGTACAGTGGTGGGTCGAGCTGTAACACCTTGGATTAAATGCCAGCCAAAAAGAAACCCTGCTACACAGGGTTTTTAATGAGACCCGTATATACAAGAAAGTTTCTGGACACAGGGTAAGATGTGCCTGGCTCTAGTCTGATTTTGTGGATCCCGCAGCCTGAATTACAAGAAAAGTTGGGAGGTGTTAACACTTTCCCTCCCGAACCAGTGTGGTTACCAGGTTTTCACCTGCAAAACGTGAAAGAAGTCGCAGGCAGCGCAGGGAAGGGTCGCTCGGTTCCTGGGCTGAGGTGTGCACACCAAACTGGAAATATGTAATTCAGGTCGTTCGAAACTGCCTAGTCTGAGCAGCTAGAGCGACAGCCATAGCATAGAACATCTAGCATTCTACCCCATTCCAGCGCATGGCGGAAAATTCCTCCTTAGGACGTTAGGACCATGCCTTCATTCTTCCAATCCGTCTCTAAAGCGCCCCGCGGTTCTAGGTCACGTTTCCACTCGACATAGCTAGCCGGGGCCATGGTTGCACATATGCCCGTCGTCGCCCTGGTTTCACTTCCACACCGCCCACCGCACCAATGTCGCCTATCTTCATAGCCGCGACGTCCTCTCTATCCGCCGCGTAGGTTTCATCCACCTGCTTCGCCGCATCGCTTCTTCTCCCCGACGTCCACACTCGGACCCCTTCCGGAACACACACGCGATCCCCTCCATCCCTCACGCTTCTTCCCTCGAACGAGCACGCTCCCTTCCCTCCCATCTCCTTCACGCAAAACCCTCTGTTGCGCACGCGAACATCCCTCCGTCGCGGATGATAACGCCTTCCCGTCGCACACAGGCACTCCCCTCGAACGGTCACGCACACTCCCTTTCGTCGCCGGCGCGCACTCCCTTCCGTCGCCCACGCTCAAGCCCTTCCCGTCGCCCACGCTCACTCCCTTCCCATCGCGATCGCGGGGGGAAATCGTACCGTCGCCCACGATCATTCACTTCCGTCGCCCACGCTCACCCCCATTCCATCGCCTTCGCGCAATCCTTCGGTCGCACACGCTCACCCCCGCTCGTCGCCACGGCCTATTCCTTCCCGCATCTCCGCCTCACCCCGTCTCCTCCTCACCCCAGCTCCGTCCGCGCGCACTCCCTCCCGTTGCGCGCGACAACTCCCCTTCCGCCGCCCACGCTCTCTCCCTCCCGCCACGTTCTCTCGCTTCCCTCCTGTCGCGACAGTCCCCTCCGTCGCCCACGCTCACTCCTCCCCACCACGCACGCTCTCCCCCCATCCATCGCCCACGCTCACTGCCCGTACTCCGCACACGCTCACTTCCCTCCGTCGCCCAGGCTCACCCCCTGCCCCTCGCCTTCTCTCATTCCCCTCCGTCGCCTATGCTCCATCCCCATCCCTTCCCTCCCCATCCCTCATCTCCCCATCCCTTCCCTCCCTATCCCTCATCTCCCCATCCCTTCCCTCCCCATCCCTCATCTCCCCATCCCGTCCCTCCCCATCCCTCACCTCCCCATCCCCGCCTCCCCATCCCTTCCCTCTCCATCCCTTCCCTCCCCATCCCTCACCTCCCAGTCTCTCAACTTACCGTCCCTCTTCTCCCCATCCCTCTTCTCCCCATCCCTCTTCTCCCCATCCCTCTTCTCCCCATCCCTTCCCTCTCCATCCCTCACCTCACCATTCCGTTTCAACCCATTCCGCCCCACCCCATTCCGCCCCACCCCATTCCGCCCCACCCCATTCCGCCCCACCCCATTCCGCCCCATCCCATTCCGCCTCACCCCATTCCGCCCCACCCCAATCCGCCCCACCCCAATCCGCCCCACCCCATTCCGCCCCACCCCATTCCGCCCCACCCCCATCTCCTCCTCACCCCATCTCCTCCTCACCCCTCATCCGTTGTGCTTTTCAGCACTAAGAAGCTTTTTGGGGAGGGGAAATGCGGTTCCGCCCCACCCCACTCCGCTCTCCCCCATCTCCGCCCCACCCCACTACGCTCTCCCCCATCTCCGCCCCACCCCACTACGCTCTCCCCCATCTCCGCCCCACCCCACTACGCTCTCCCCCATCTCCGCCCCACCCCACTACGCTCTCCCCCATCTCCGCCCCACCCCACTCCGCTCTCCCCCATCTCCGCCCCACCCCACTCCGCTCTCCCCCATCTTCGCCCCACCCCACTCCGCCCTGGCCCACTCCGCCCCACCCATCTCAAGGTCACCCCATTCCGCCCCACCCTTCAAAATCACCCCATTCCGCCCCACCCATCTCTGCCCCACCCATCTCCACCCCAACCCATCTCTGCCTCTCGTTTGTCTCCTACCATAATAATAATCCGTGAGTGTCTCTTTATTTCTTCCTCTTCGCAGGTGCCGGTTTGTCAGTGTCAGTGCCCACCCTTTTGTATGCGTTCTGCTTCAGCCACGAGCATCTGATTTTCACAACTGGGTTTGTACAGGTCCCCCCCCCCCCCCCCCCCCCCCCCCCCCCTATGCATTTGGTTCAGGAATGTTGGTTGTTGGTAGTACTACTACTAGGTATGACAAATAGACATGCCAATGTTGGATATTTAGTATTATATACTAAATTTTGATCCACAGAGGTATGAGACTGTAGACCACTTACAATGTGCATCAATCTAGTAAAAAAGAACAAGCTAGTCCATGTGATGTCTTGTCCAACTCTTGTCTGCACATACAGCAGCAAAAAACCAGGACTTGTGGTTCCCTCCCAACAGCTGGTGCTGGGCACCGACACACTGCATGGGTAAAGGGTTGAATAGGGGAGTGAGCAGGAAAGAACAGAATGAGCAGGGAAAAACAGAGTGCAGGGGAGACAGTGAGCAGAGGTAAAATAATTGAGCAGGGGGAAAGAGAGAGAACATGTTGAAGGGAGTGAGCAGGTGGGAAGATAGTGAGCAGGGAGAAACATAGTGAGCAAGGGGAAGAGAGCGAGCAGGGGAAAACAGAACGAGCAGCAAGGGGAAGAGAATGAGCAGTGGAGGAAGAGAGTGAGCAGGGGGGAATAGAAAAAACAGGGGGGAAGAGAGGAAACAGAGCGAGCAAGGGGGAAACAGAGTGAGGAGCGGGAAGGGAGCGAGCAGGGAGAAACATAGTGAGAGCAGCCCTGTCCGTGCTGCACTCGCCGAACAGCGCCACCACGCTGGCCGCTGCCTGGCGTGCGCTGATGGCATGCGCCTTGCGCACGTCGAGGGTGTGAGAGAGGCGAGGAGTGTGAGAGAGGCGAGGAGTGTGAGAGAGGCGGGGAGTGTGAGAGAGGCGAGGAGGAGTGTGAGAGAGGCGAGGAGTGTGAGAGAGGCGGGGAGTGTGAGAGAGGCGAGGAGTGTGAGAGTGGCGAGGAGTGTGAGAGAGGCGAGGAGTGTGAGAGAGGCGAGGAGTGTGAGAGAGGCGAGGAGTGGCGGAGGAGGATTGGGTTAGAAGGGGAGGAATTGCAGGGAAGGCGTGAGAAAAAATACCATGGAAGTTCAAAGGTAGGGAAAGGGAAATGAAGTTGTTCGAGGGGAAAAGAGGCGATGAGGGTTGAGAGTGGGAATGGAAAGCAGGGGCTTATGAGGAAGGGTGCGTGGGGAGGCGTGGCGAGTGTGAGAGGGCGGGCGGACGTCGTGATGAGGCCCGCAGGCGAGCGCGGAGTGAGCAAGGGGATGAGGGTGGGCATGGGGAAAGGGAGTGAACAGGGGGGAACACCACGAACTGGGGGGAAGAGGGTGAGCAGGGGGAAACAGAATGAGCAAGGGGGAAACAGAATGAGCAAGGGGGAAACAGAATGAGCAAGGGGGAAGAGAGTGATCAGGGGGGGGGGAGGGAGTGAACAGGGGGGAACAGAGTGAAGGGAGGAAGGGGAGTAATTGTTTCGCATGAGTGTACGTGGGTGAGAGTGAAGCTTTGGGTGGGGAAAAAAAGAGGTGGTAAACCAGGGCACTGGGAAGGGTAGAGAAGGCGGCGGGGCGGGAAACCAGGGCGTCGGCGCGAGGGAGGGGAATGGGCATGGGCGACGGAGGAAGGAAGCGAGGGCGAAGAAGAGGGTACGCTCGACGAAGACGTCAGCGGCGGGAATGAGAACAATGTTGACGCAGCGACAGGTGGGAGAGGAGAGGTCGACTCGGCGAGCGATGGGGAGGGAAAACGAGGGCGACGGGAGGGGGAAAGCGAGGGCGACGGGAGGGGGAAAGCGAGGCCGACGGAAGGGGGAAAGCGAGGTCGACGGGAGGGGGAAAGCGAGGTGGATGGGAGGGGGAAAGCGAGGTCGACGGGAGGGGGAAAGCGAGGTCGACGGGAGGGGGAGGCGGCGATGGCGACCCGCGAGGCGAGGGTGGTAGGCGGGGAAGATGCGGTACACGACGGGCGGGGGAAGCGAGGGCGGCGGGTATGGGAAGCGAGGGCAACGGGAGGGGAGAAGCGAGGGCGGGCGGAGGAAGCAAAGGCGACGGGCAGGGAGGAGGCGAGGCGACGGGCGGGGAGGAGGTGGTGCGCGGGAAGAGCGAGGGCGACGGGCGGGGGAAGCGAGGTGGGCAAATCGCTAATATCTCGTTTCTACGTGCGTCACACTCGCAGCCAGCGCCTACGATTCACTTCGATTGCATGACCGCGCTTCATCTTCTTTTCCGTCGTCCCTTAATTGTGTTCACTTGATATGCCTGGCTGGTGAGCGCGATGCTTGGATCCTAAAAAGCTTGTCTGAGTTGTTCGCTTGTTCTGTCGCACAGGTTTTAACCCTGCTCTAGCTCTCTGGGGTTGTAAGCAGAATGTATGCGAACTGTTGGGTTGCGTTGGCTGATAACGCCTCGTTGACTCACGGGAGAGTCGCATCATGTTTCGCTAACTTTTTTGCTTTCGCAATTCTGCCGCACCTCATATTGCCCGAACCCCAAACCTACCAAACCAAGCGTTGACTCAGTTTTTGTAATTCAGGCTTCGGGTTTTAAGGCACGAAAGTCCATGAAATGTGGCGTCACGAAACCAGTCTACAGCGTGGAAAGGATTGTAGCTTAAAGCCGGCGGCCCAAATTGTTCATGCTTTTAAAAGTTGACCAGAGGGAGTTTTTCTGGTGTGGGCTTTGGCGAGAGTTTCCGATTTCGTCTAGGTTCGTTTTTTTCGCGAGACCCAGCCAACCCTCGGTTTTCCCCCTGGTGAGTGAATCTGTCTTCGAAAGTCCCAAATTGCAAGTGCGTGACTTTCAAAAGCTTGGACACTCAACTTCGTCAAGTTTTAAAAACTTGACCCTCGCGGCCCGACGCGGGCTTTAAGTTCTAGAAGTTGGAAGAAGGTCTCCCAAGAGAGAATCGGATGTTTTAGCTACGCGTGTAACACATACAGTTTAAAACCAGGGTGCACATTCAACGCGGTTCGGCTTGAGATGTTGGGAAGGGGGTTTGGAGAAAAACAGTGATTGGCTCACGAGGGGCGACAAAAAAATGATTCCGCTAGAGCTTCGGGCATTTCGTAGGTGGCGGGAGGGGGTGAAATGGCAAGTGTGGGTGAAACCGAATGGCGGGAGGGATGAAACAGATTGGCGGGAGGGGGGGGAAACGAAATTGCGGGGGAGGGGGGAAACAAAATTGCGGGGGAGGGGGGAAACGAATTTCGACGGGGAGGGGGAAATGAAATTGCGGGGGCGTGGGGAAACGAAATTGCGGGGGAGGGGGGAAACGAATTTCGACTCGAAGGGGTTGAAAGCACACCTCGTAACCCACTCAGTCAAGGGATAACCTTTGATGCACATTCAGCTGAATGTGCACCCCGGTTTTAACCCAGCAGGGCAGCCGAGTGGATTCGCCCTGAAATCAGACGAGAAATGGGCATCAGAGCCACGCAACACAAGGCAAAACAACAAAGTTCCCATGTGGAACGTGGCTGGATGGTGGATCCAAAGTCCAGACTTTGATTTCCTACCCTCCAGGCACCCAAACTGATTTTTTCTTTCCGGGCAACTCTTGAACACGGTTCGTGTAGATGGTTTGTGGGAACTGTCAACTCTAAGAGCGTGTCACAACTGCCCTGATTTGAGATCACCATCACCCCAACCCCAGGTTTATGGGTAGCCAAACAACATATTTTTGGGGCACATCACGATCCTTGTAGGTGTACCATCTGCAAATTTGAAGTGGTGACCCTCTGCGACTAAGCGACGTCGCCAGAAATTGCACGACGTCGCGAGCATATGAGGTTTGCATTGACCATGTTAACCGTGTTACATACCGAGACGCAACAGCTTCATTGGTTCGAAGTTCCTTTTGTCAGAACATTATATAGCTTATGCTGTTGTGTAGGCTATAGTGGGGTATCCCATAGGGGGTACAACCCAATTAGGGTTTCCTATTTGTACTCACTTCATTTCATAGTTCACTCATTCTCGTTCCTCATTTTCACATGGAATCAGAGCAGGTCCCCTCCTAGGGACTGCTTCTAGGGCCCACCGAAGCGCGCCCCGAGGCGCGTTTTCCTTTTTTTTTAGCGACCCTCCGTGTCGCCCCTTGCGGCCCCGCCGCCCTCCCTTCGCGGCCCCGCCGCCCTACTAACGCGGCCCCGCCGCCCTTCCTTCGCGGCCCCGCCGCCCTGCTCGCGCGGCCCAGCCGCCCTCTGCTTCGCGGCCCCGCTGCCCTGCTCACGCGGCCCCGCCGCCCTCTGCTACGCGGCCCCGCCGCCCTGCTACAGCGGCCCCGCCGCCCTCACGTCGCGGCCCGCCCGCCCTCTGCTTCGCGGCCCCGCCGCCCTGCTCTCGCGGCCCCGCCGCCCTGCTCACGCGGCCCCGCCGCTCTCTGCTAAGCGGCCCCGCCGCCCCACTACAGCGGCCCCGCCGCCCTCACGTCGCGGCCCGCCCGCCGCCCTACCTGCGGCCCGCCCGCCGCCCTACCTGCGGCCCGCCCGCCGCCCTACCTGCGGCCCGCCCGCCGCCCTACTTGCGGCCCTACCGCCGCCCTCCCTGCGGCCCGCCCGCCGCCCTACTTGCGGCCCTACCGCCGCCCTACCTGCGGCCCGCCCGCCGCCCTCCTTGCGGCCCTACCGCCGCCCAACCTGCGGCCCTACCGCCGCCCTACCTGCGGGAGCCGCCTAGCAGCAGAACCGCCGGGAGCCAAGCCGCCTTGCCGCCGAGCCGCCCGGGAGCCGAGCCGCCCTGCAGTCGAGCCGCCCGGGAGCCGAGCCGCCCTGCCGCCGAGCCGCCCGGGAGCCGAGCCGCACTGCCGCCGAGCCGCCCAACAGCCGAGCCGCCCAGCAGCCGAGCCGCCCTGCCGCCGAGCCGCTGAGCAGCCGAGCCGCCCTACTGCCGAGCCGCCCGACCTGCCCTGTCCGGTGAGCACAGCCCCACTGTCACTGCGTGCCCTTCCCCTACTGCTTGCACTGCTCGTCTGTCGTCGTCATGGCTACCCCTAGTGTCCTCGCTTTTGACGCTGAGGGTCGAGCCATTGACTTTGAGGTCTGGGTCGACGACCTGCAGCTGTTCTTACAGTGCGATAGGGCGGACGGTCTTTCCCTCTTTGACCTCACCTCTGGCGCCTCTCCTGCCCCTGCTACTGATGCTGACCCCACTGTTCGCTCTCAGTGGGCCACCCGCGATGCTGCTGCACGTCTTGCTGTGCGTCGCCACCTGCCTACCACTGAGCGCGCGCACTTTAGTCAGTACAAGAGTGCTCAGACCTTGTACGACGCTGTAGTTGCGCGCTACTCTTCCCCTGCCACAGCTGCCCTGAGCCGCCTCATGCTACCGTACCTCTTTCCTGACCTTACTGCCTTTCCCACTGTCGCTGACCTCATTACGCACCTCCGCACTAGTGACACTCGCTACCGCGCCGCCCTTCCTGCTGAGTTCTGCGCCAAGAACCCCCCCCCCATGTACATCACTCTCTATTACATAGTCACACGCCTCCCTGACTCCCTTCGCGTAGTCAGGGACCACTACCTCTCGGTCTGTCCCACCACTCTCACTGTCGACCTCCTCGAGAAGTCCCTCCTGGCGGCGGAGAAGAGCATCGTCGCTGTAGGAGCCTCTCGTGGTGACCCTCGCACCCCCATCTTTGAGGGGTGTTCTCCTTCCCCCCTGCTGCCCTCTGTTGCCTCTGCTGCTGCTGCCGACCTGCTTGGTCTTGAGTCGGTCTGCGCGGCGTCTGCCCCTAGCGGGAGACGCCGCCCTGGCAGGGGCAAGGGGGGCAAGGGCGCGGGTGGAGCTGGCGGGGGCGGTGGAGGAGGCGGTGGAGGCGGAGGAGGGAGTGGGGGTGGCGGTGGGAGTGGTGGCGGGGGCGGTGGTGGCGGTGGCAGCAGCGGAGGAGGAGGCGGTGGTGGCGGCAGCGGTGGGAGCGGAGGCAGCGGTGGTGGTGGAGGTGGAGGCAGCGGTGGCGGAGGGGGTGGAGCTGGTCGGGGTGGTGCCCCGCTGCGTAGCGGCCCTGGTGGTGGCCAGCGTCAGCAGCAGCAGCAGCAGCAGCAGCGTTCGCGGGACATCCCCCCGCCCCAGCAGCTCCGTGAGTGGTACACGCAGCGTCAGCGGGGTGGGGGTTTTGGTCCGTGCACCTACGTCCTTCGTTCCGGTGACCGAGCGGGTGAGCAGTGTGGGGGTGCGCACCCCACTCAGCGCTGCTTTGGCCGCCTGACGGACGCTTGGCGTCAGCAGTTCCCCGAGGCCAGTGAGATTCCCCGTTGGGGAGAGCTGTCTAGGGCTGGCGTAGCTGTCTTTGATCTTGACTTTGATGCTATCCTTGCTGCCATGTATGCTGTGACTATTAGTGAGGAGGGTGACTGTTACCAGTGTTTCCCGCCCGACCCGGGCATTGGTACTGCTGCGCCAGGTACTTCTGCGGCTGCTGCTCTAGGTGCCAGTGCGTCTGCACTCTCAGGTACTGGTGAGGCTGCGCTCTCAGGTACTTGCGTCGGCTTCGGCCTCCCTCACCTTCACACTTGACTCAGGGGCTTCTCGCTCCTTCTTTCGAGACCGCACCACACTCACGCCGCTTGGCCGGCCGGTTGCAGTCTCCCTGGCTGACCCCTCTGGGGGTCCTGTCCTCTCTCACTTCTCCACTGTCCTCCCGTGTCCGGCTGCCCCCTCGGGCACCTTGTCTGGTCTGTACCTCCCCTCGTTCTCGACGAACTTGGTGAGTGGTGCTGACCTGCAGGATGCGGGGGTTCACCAGTTTACTCCTGCGAGTCAGCGGGTGACCCACTGCTCGGATGCCCGCACAGGCCGACACCTGGCCACGTTCTCGCGTCGGCCAGGGTCGAGTCTCTACACACTGACCACTGCGTCTCCTCCTGTCCCTGCGTCTGGCCAGGTAGCTGCGTCGGGTCAGGTGTTTGCTGCTGCGTCCAGGTCTGGTCCTGAGTCTGCCCCCTGCTCGTGTCGCCGCCTGTCTCACGAGACTCTCCTGTGGCACCACCGTCTTGGCCACCCCTCCTTGCTTCGTCTTCGGGGCATGGCTTCCCGTGTCCTTGTCTCTGGTCTTCCCCGGTCTCTCCCTCCCCTTCCTTCGGGACCCGGACCTTCTTGTGTCCCCTGTGTCGAGGGGCGGCTCCGGGCTGCCCCTCACTCCTCCCAGTTTCCCCCGACAGAGGCTCCTCTGCAGACGCTTCACATGGACGTGTGGGGCCCCGCCCGCGTCCGTGGGCAGGGTCACGAGCGCTACTTCCTGCTGGTGGTTGACGACTACTCGCGTTACACCACAGTCTTCCCCTTGCGCAGCAAGGGTGATGTCACTGAGGTGTTGATCGACTGGATCCGCGCAGCTCGTCTCCAGCTCAGGAGGAGCTTCGGCTCGGACTTTCCTGTTCTGCGTCTGCACTCTGACCGAGGTGGAGAGTTCTCCTCTGGCCTTCTGCGAGCCTACTGTCGTGCACGAGGCATCCGCCAGACCTTTACGCTTCCGGACTCTCCACAGCAAAATGGGATTGCTGAGCGCCGCATTGGCATGGTCATGGACGTCGCTCGTACGTCCATGATGCATGCGGCTGCCCCCCATTTTCTGTGGCCGTTTGCGGTTCGGTACGCGGCGCATCAGATCAACCTTCACCCCAGGGTCTCCCGGCCGGAGACCTCTCCAGCTCTGCTGTGGACGGGGAAGGTCGGCGATGCGTCTGCGTTCCGTGTCTGGGGATCTCGGGCGTTTGTCCGTGACTTGTCTGCGGACAAGCTGTCCCCTCGTGCTGCTCCCTGTGTCTTCCTCGGCTTTCCCCCTGACGCTCCAGGGTGGCAGTTCTACCACCCCTCCTCTCGTCGTGTTCTGTCCTCCCAGGACGTCACGTTCGACGAGTCAGTCCCCTTCTACCGCCTCTTCCCCTACCGCACTCCTTCCCTCCCCCCGCCACCGCACTTCCTTGTGCCAGGTCCCCCCCCGGTAGACCCCCTTCCCCCTCAGGGTCCTGCCCCTTCAGGTGTGTCCCAGGTAGACGCAGTCGAGCCGGTCGAGGTTGCTGGTGACTCTGGTCCTGCTGCGGGTGCTGAGCCTGGGGGTGCTGAGTCTGGGGGTGCTGAGCCTGGGGGTACTGCGACTGGGGGTGCTGAGCCTGGGGGTGCGGAGTCTGGGGGTACTGAGCCGTGGGGTGCTGCTACTGGGGGTGCTGAGCCAGGGGGTGCTGCGTCTGGAGGTGCTGAGCCTGGAGCTGCGGAGCCTGCGGCCACTGGACCTCCCCTTGTGGCGTCTGGCGGTGCGGGACCTGGCGGTTCTCCGGGTGCTTCGCCTCGGCGGGAGCCCCTCTCTCCACAGGAGCTGCGTGAGTGGTTTGCTCGGCGCTGGAGGCGTGCTGCTGGAGCTGGAGGTTCTTCGGCTACTGAGGGTGCTGGTGCCGCGGGTCCCGGAGGTGCTGGAGCTGGAGCTGCTGAGGGTGTTGGCGCTGAGGCTACTGCTGTCGGTCCTGGAGGCGGTCCTGCTGGGGGTGCTACTGGTGCTGCTGGAGGTCCTGGAGCTGGAGGTGCTGCTGGCGCTGGTGCTCCCGCTTGGGGTACTGGTGCTGTCCCTGCTGTGTCTGGAGTCGCCTCGCGGCCTAGACCGTACTTCGTTCCGCTCCTTCAGCAGGTTCTTGGTCTCCCGCCTTCTACTGGTCCTCCTCCTCCCTTAGAGTGTCCACAGCCTGTCCTGTCACAGTTCCAGTTACAGCCGGCCTCCCCACTGCCCGCTCCTTCTCCCTACACTGGTCCTACTGGAGGTCTTGCTGAGCGTCGTGAGCCTGCGTCTCGTCCTGCGTCGCCTGTCCGTGCTGCTCGCACTAGTGGTCGTGGTTCGCGTCAGCGTCCTCCTCCTGTCCCTGGCACGCACCGGATGTCTCTGCGTCCGTCCACTGCTCCTCTGCGTGCCCCTTTGCCTTCTCCTCCTGAGTCCTCTCTTCCTGCTCTTCCTGACCCGGAGTCGGACTCTCTTCGTGCTGCCAGTCCTGCTGTCACACGTCTCCTTGCTACTGTCGTCACTGACCCCTCTTTTGAGTCCACTGCTGCGTCTGCACTTGTTGCTGAGCTCGTCGACTTTGCTGCTCGCTGTCGTCTAGACTACGCTGCCGGTCTTGTTGCTGAGTCTGCGTCTGTCTGTCCTCCGTCCGTCGGGGGTGAGTGTGCTCTTGGCACGGACGTCCTTGAGGACAGGCAGGAGGAGTTCTGGTGTCTGGCTGCTGCTTCACCTCATCTCGCGTCCGTACTACTTGCCCCTGAGGGAGACCCGGATGCACTAGACATCCCGACTCCGCGCTCTTACGCGGAGGCCGTAGAGGGTCCCTACTCCTCTCAGTGGCAGGCAGCTATGGATGCAGAGATGGCGTCCTGGAAGTCCACAGGCACCTACGTTGACGCGGTTCCCCCTCCTGGGGCGAACATCGTCAGTGGCATGTGGATCTTCAGGGTGAAGCGGCCGCCGGGCTCTCCACCTGTCTTCAAGGCGCGGTACGTGGCTCGTGGCTTCAGTCAGCGGCAGGGAGTTGACTACTTTCAGACCTTCTCTCCCACCCCGAAGATGACCACTCTTCGGGTGCTGCTGCACATAGCCGCTCAGCGCGACTACGAGCTCCACTCTCTTGACTTCAGTACTGCTTTCTTGCAGGGTAGCCTGCACGAGGAGATCTGGCTGCGCCGTCCACCTGGCTTCACTGGGACTTTTCCTCCTGGCACCCAGTGGAGCCTCCGACGGCCAGTCTACGGTCTCCGCCAGGCACCGCGTGAGTGGCACGACACACTGAGGACTACGCTTGCGGCTCTTGGGTTTGCTCCCTCTACTGCTGACCCGTCGTTGTTTCTGCGCACCGACACTTCTTTGCCGCCGTTCTACGTCCTCGTGTACGTCGACGACTTGGTCTTTGCCACAGCTGACACTGCTGGACTAGCCTACGTGAAGTCCGAGCTGCAGAAGAGACACACGTGCACAGACCTGGGTGAACTGCGCAGCTACCTTGGCTTGCAGATCACTCGGGACAGAGCACGCCGCACCATTACCTTGACTCAGTCACACATGGTGCAGCAGGTCCTTCAGCGCTTCGGCTTCACGTACTCCTCGCCTCAGGCCACTCCTCTGTCTACTCGCCACTCGCTCTCAGCTCTGCCTTCGGATGAGTCCGTAGAGTCGAGTGGCCCGTACCCAGAGCTTGTTGGCTGCCTCATGTACCTGATGACCTGCACACGACCTGACCTTGCATACCCTCTTAGCATTCTTGCACGCTATGTTGCTCCTGGGAGACACCGACCAGAGCACATGGCTGCAGCGAAGAGGGTGTTGCGCTACTTGTGCAGTACGTCGGGCATGGGGCTAGTGCTTGGAGGGCGGAGTCCAGTGGTCCTCACTGGGCACGCGGACGCTTCTTGGGCAGACGACCAGGCTACACAGCGGTCGTCGCAGGGTTACACCTTCAGTCTTGGTTCCGGCTCTGTCTCGTGGCGGGCTACTCGCTCGTCCTCTGTTCTCAGCTCCAGTTGTGAGGCTGAGATCTACGCCGGGGCCATGGCTGCACAGGAGCTTCGCTGGCTCACCTACCTGCTGACTGACCTTGGAGAGCCGCCTCGTTCTCCTCCAGTGCTGTACGTAGACAACAAGGCCATGCTGGCCTTGTGTCGAGAGCAGCGCTTGGAGCACAGAACGAAGCACATTGCTCTCCGTTACTTTCTTGCTCGTGAGCTGCAGCAGCGTGGTCAGTTGCGACTTGCTTACGTGGCCTCTGAGGCCAACACTGCTGATGTGTTCACCAAGGCACTTGCGCCTTGTGACCATCAGCGCTTCTGCACCCAGCTGGGTCTTGTACCTGTCTTGCCTCACTTGCTCTCTTCTTGACCTTGCTTGTACTGTTACATATATATACCTGCTCTTGCTTGTCTAGCTCTATATATATATGTGTACTCTTGCATGTGAACTGGCCTTGTGGCCTTGTCGTTGTGCTCGGACTGTGTGGTGACTTTGTGATCCACCCTGAGCTTGCTCTGCTTTGCTTGACTGGTCTTGTAACCCCTTGTTCTCCCCCACTTTGCCTATGGGGGTGTGTCAGAACATTATATAGCTTATGCTGTTGTGTAGGCTATAGTGGGGTATCCCATAGGGGGTACAACCCAATTAGGGTTTCCTATTTGTACTCACTTCATTTCATAGTTCACTCATTCTCGTTCCTCATTTTCACACCTTTCAGAACGTTTTTACTGGTTGCAACTGTGTTACCGCTGTGCAATATGACTGCGACAGTTTTCTTTCTCGTGAACAAGGATCACCCTCTGTTTGGTACAGAGATGCAAAGATCACCGTGAGATTGGTAGTCACCAAGATCTTTTTGATAACACAAAGATTGGGTAGCATAGACTACACATGATTTCGATCCTCCCTCTGTTGGTACAGCCACTGGTACAGTAATCTCTGTACAGTGGTGGTGAGGCACTGTTCTGCAAGGATCGCCGAGACGATCCTCCATTTTGCGCGATCTTCCCGTAGGTGTACCACGCTCTAAACACTATGGACCAGGCCGCGTATACAGCACAGTTCATGAAGAAAACACAAGACTGTATGAACTTGAAGGCCCAAGGAACCAACCAGTGGACGATGACAATGCCCTGCCTCCAGCTGTTCTGGGAGCTCTGTGATTGGAGCACCCCACCCTCCTTTGTCGTACAGTGCAAGATGTACTCACTGTATCAACAATGAGATCTCACTCCACTCCACACCCCATTCAGCACTGTTGCCAGAACGTGGTCATCATTCAAGACGAGGACGACGTCTTGTCTCGGACATCGGTCCCAGTCAGACATCCAGCAAGCAGCCCCCTAAGGGACGATTGCCAGCCGTCAAAATGCAGAAGGGGAGCAAGCAGGTGAGACCTTTGAAATTGAGCTCGATAAGAACGTCTTCATCTATTCTTTATGTGTACCAGCCCGTGTAGGGACTCAAGTTCCATGTACTTAGCATTCCAATACATCACCCGCGCATTCATCCTCGCATTCAAGTTTTGCGCGAAGCCTGAACCAGCCAGGCAACACAAGGCCATATGATGCACATTAGTCAGGCAACGTTCTCCTAAATTTAATTTCCTCACGGTTCACCTTCCTCAGTTTTCGGTCTAATGTTGCGGCGTTTCCGATTCGATCGACTCGGATCGCTCCCCATCCAGCCACACGCCGCCCTCTCGCGCCTCTTTCCGCTACGAAATGCTCCGCTCACATTCCTGCGCGCCCTTCCGCGGGAGCCCCCGCGCGCATGTCCCTCTGATGCGCGTCTGCGCCACTTCACGGTGGTGGCGGGGCGGCGGAACTACGGGGGAGGCGCGATGAAGCAGCGCCCCAAGGATTGGCGCCCGCAGTCCACCCCCTTCCACGCGCGCAACCGCAGCCCCCGGCGGAACGACCGCACCGTTCCGCTGGGCCGGCGGGGCGGAAACGGGGGCGATAGCGGAGACGGTTCCACGGAGAGCGCAGGGCGGATGCAGCGCGATGTGGCGGATCTGGGCGCGGATTGGCGGCTGGGGCCGGGGGAATCAGTGGGAAGAGTTATGTCTGCTCAGGCTAACTTCGTACGCGTGATTGTAACGAGATGCGGTGTAGAAGGCGGGGGAGGGGTCATCGAGGAGCGAGGAGAGGAGTGGGACCGAAGCAGTAACGGTCAATCACATCAAGGTGGGATGATGCGAACATACGGCTGGAGTCATTCTTTTCCACAACATCCTGAACCCTTGCCAACTGTGCTTCCCCTCTCTTAGAGGAGTAGGAACCATGCAACCCTTCCCAACTGTTTTTCCCTTCTCTTGGAGGAGCAGAATTTTCGAGTCGACTAAAAAATCGACCCTTCCCAACTGTTTTTCCCTTCTCTTGGAGGAGCAGAATTTTCGAGTCGACTCAAAAATCGACCCTTCCCAACTGTTTTTCCCTTCTCTTGGAGGAGCAGAATTTTCGAGTCGACTCAAAAATCGACCCTTCCCAACTGTTTTTCCCTTCTCTTGGAGGAGCAGAATTTTTGAGTCGACTCAAAAATCGACCCTTCCCAACTGTTTTTCCCTTCTCTTGGAGGAGCAGAATTTTTGAGTCGACTCAAAAATCGACCCTTCCCAACTGTTTTTCCCTTCTCTTGGAGGAGCAGAATTTTTGAGTCGACTCAAAAATCGACCCTTCCCAACTGTTTTTCCCTTCTCTTGGAGGAGCAGAATTTTTGAGTCGACTCAAAAATCGACCCTTCCCAACTGTTTTTCCCTTCTCTTGGAGGAGCAGAATTTTTGAGTCGACTCAAAAATCGACCCTTCCCAACTGTTTTTCCCTTCTCTTGGAGGAGCAGAATTTTTTAGTCGACTCAAAAATCGACCCTTCCCAACTGTTTTTCCCTTCTCTTGGAGGAGCATAATTTTTGAGTCGACTCAAAAATCGACCCTTCCCAACTGTTTTTCCCTTCTCTTGGAGGAGCAGAATTTTTGAGTCGACTCAAAAATCGACCCTTCCCAACTGTTTTTCCCTTCTCTTGGAGGAGCAGAATTTTTGAGTCGACTCAAAAATCGACCCTTCCCAACTGTTTTTCCCTTCTCTTGGAGGAGCAGAATTTTTGAGTCGACTCAAAAATCGACCCTTCCCAACTGTTTTTCCCTTCTCTTGGAGGAGCAGAATTTTTGAGTCGACTCAAAAATCGACCCTTCCCAACTGTTTTTCCCTTCTCTTGGAGGAGCAGAATTTTTGAGTCGACTCAAAAATCGACCCTTCCCAACTGTTTTTCCCTTCTCTTGGAGGAGCAGAATTTTTGAGTCGACTCAAAAATCGACCCTTCCCAACTGTTTTTCCCTTCTCTTGGAGGAGCAGAATTTTTGAGTCGACTAAAAAATCGACCCTTCCCAACTGTTTTTCCCTTCTCTTGGAGGAGCAGGATTTTTGAGTCGACTCAAAAATCGACCCTGTCAGATTTATATGACATAGCTACTGTAGGCTATAGTGGGGTAGCACATATGGGGTACAGTTTTCTAGGGTTTGCTTTTGTACCCAACTTTCCCTTAGTCAATTCATTCCTCATTTCTTCACATGGTATAGAGCAGGTTCCCTAGTGGGAACGCTTCCTTGGGCCCACCACTGAAACCTTTTTTTTTTCTGACCGGAGCGACAGTCGCTCCTGCCCGAGGCGCGCCTTGTGGGCCGCCCTTCTGTCGAGCTCTCTTAGAGGCCCCTCTCACGGCCCCTCGCGCCACCCTTAGCGGCCCCGTCGCCGCCCCTAGCGGCCCCGTTGCCGCCCTTCCAGGCCCCTTGCGGCCCCTAGCGGCCCCATTGCCGCCCCTACGCGGCCCCGTAGCCGCCCCTAGCGGCCCTGTCGCCGCCCTTAGCGGCCCCGTTGCCGCCTCCCTCCCTACGCGGCCCCGTTGCCGCCCCTACGCGGCCCCGTCGCCGCCCCTAGCGGCCCCGTCGCCGCCCCTACGCGGCCCCGTCGCCGCCCCTAGCGGCCCCGTAGCCGCTCCCCTCCTACGCGGCCCCGTCGCCGCCCCTACGCGGCCCCGTCGCCGCCCCTACGCGGCCCCGTTGCCGTCCCTAGCGGCCCCGTCGCCGCCCCTAGCGGCGCCGTCGCCGCTCCCCTCCCTACGCGGCCCCGTAGCCGCCCCTACGCGGCCCCGTCGCCGCCCTTACGCGGCCCCGTCGCCGCCCCTAGCGGCCCCGTCGCCGCTCCCCTCCCTACGCGGCCCCGTCGCCGCCCCTACGCGGCCCCGTCGCCGCCCCTACGCGGCCCCGTCGCCGCCCCTAACGGCCCCGTCGCCTCCTCCCTCCCTACGCGGCCCTGTCGCCGCCCCTACGCGGCCCCGTCGCCGCCCCTAGCGGCCCCGTCACCGCCTCCCTCCCTACGCGGCCCCGTCGCCGCCCCTACGCGGCCTCGTAGCCGCCCCTACGCGGCCCCGTCGCCGCCCCTAGCGGCCCCGTCGCCGCTTCCCTCCCTACGCGGCCCCGTTGCCGCCCCTACGCGGCCTCGTAGCCGCCCCTACGCGGCCCCGTCGCCGCCCCTAGTGGCCCCGTCGCCGCTCCCCGCCCCTAGCGGCCCCGTCGCTGCCCCTACCCGGCCCCGTCGCCGCCCCTAGCGAGCAGCCGAGCCGCCGAGCCGCCCAGCAGCTGAGCCGCCGAGTCGCCCAGCAGCCGAGCCGCCCCTGGAGCAGCCGCCACTGCAGCAGCCGCCCCTGGAGCAGCCGCCACTGCAGCAGCCGCCCCTGGAGCAGCCGCCACTGCAGCAGCCGCCCCCGGAGCAGCCGCCAATGCAGCAGCCGCCCCCGGAGCAGCCGCCACTGCAGCAGCCGCCCCTGGAGCAGCCGCCTCTAGAGTAGTCGCCCCTACAACTGCCGCCCCTGGAGCAGCCACCCCTGCAGCTGCCGCGGAGCTCTCGCTCTACAGTGGTAGCGGCCTCGCCGTTGCCGTCGTCGTACGCCTGCCCTTCTCGCCACTGGTGAGCACTGCCCTGCCCGTACTGCTGTTACTGCTGCTCTTACTGCTGCTGCTCTTTCTACTGCTACTGCTGCTCCTGGCGTGGCCAGATGCAGCTCCAGCGTCGCCCGCGTGAGTCCCTCACCCCCCAACAGCTTCGTGCGTGGTACGCTGGTTGGGGTTGTCGGGGTGGCCGTAGTGGGAGTCGTACTGGAGTGAGTAGTTCCACAGCTGCTTGTAGTGGCCAGGTGCAGCTGCAGCATCGCCCGCGTGAGTCCCTCACCCCCCAACAGCTTCGTGAGTGGTACGCTAGTTGGGGTTGTCGGGGTGGCCGTAGTGGGAGTCGTCCTGGAGTGAGTAGTTCGGCAGCTGCTTGTAGTGGCCAGGTGCAGCTTCAGCGTCGTCCGCGAGCAGTCCTTTCGCCCCAGCAGCTTCGTGAGTGGTACGCTCAGCGTGACGGGTCACGGGGTACTGCTCGCTGTCCGTACGTCATTCGCACTGGTGCTCGGACTGGTCAGCCTTGCGGGACGTTGGGTCACGCAGAGTCCCGCTGCTTCGCCCGTCTGAGCGACGCCTGGCGTACGGAGTTTGGCGACGCGGCTGAGCTCCCCGACTGGGTGGAGCTGCTTCGGCTGCGGGTAGATATCTATACTCTTGACTATGATGCTATCCTCACTGCCATGTATGCATTGCCTACTAGTGATGAGGGTGACTGTTACCTGTGTGTTCCGCCTGACCCGGGCATTGAGGCTGCTGCTCTAGGTGCTGGTGAGGCTGCTGCTCTAGGTGCTAGTGCGTCTGCTGCCCCAGGTGCTGGTGAGGCTGCTCTCTCAGGTACCACGTCGTCTCAGGCCTTACACACCTTCACTCTTGACTCGGGTGCTTCCCGCTCCTTCTTTCGAGACCGCACCACGCTTACGCCGCTCAGTCGGCCGGTTGCGGTCTCCCTGGCAGACCCCTCTGGGGGTCCTGTCCTTGCTCACTTCTCCACTGTCCTCCCGTGTCCGGCGGCCCCCTCTGGCACCCTGTCTGGTCTTTACCTCCCCTCGTTCTCTACGAACTTGGTGAGTGGTGCTGACCTACAGGATGCGGGGGTTCACCAGTTCACTCCTGCGAGTCAGCGGGTGACCCACTGCACGGACGCTCGGACAGGCCGACACCTGGCCACATTTACACGTCGGCCGGGGTCGAGCCTGTACACACTGACCACTGCGTCTCCTCCAGTCACTGCGTCTGGTCAGGTAGCTGCGTCGGGTCAGGTGTTTGCTGCAGCGTCCAGGTCTGGTCCTGAGTCTGCCCCCTGTTCGTGTCGCCTCCTGTCTCACGAGACTCTCCTCTGGCACCACCGCCTTGGTCACCCCTCCCTGCTTCGTCTCCGAGGCATGGCCTCCCGTGTCCTTGTCTCTGGTCTTCCCCGGTCCCTCCCTCCCCTTCCTCCGGGGCCTGGCCCTACCTGCGTCCCCTGTGTCGAGGGGCGGCAGCGGGCTGCCCCTCACTCCTCCCAGTTTCCTCCGACAGAGGCCCCGCTGCAGACGCTTCACATGGACGTGTGGGGCCCGGCCCGCGTCCGTGGACAGGGTCACGAGCGCTACTTCCTGCTGGTGGTTGACGACTACTCGCGTTACACCACAGTCTTCCCCTTGCGCAGCAAGGGTGATGTCACTGAGGTGTTGATCGACTGGATCCGCGCAGCTCGTCTCCAGCTCAGGCAGAGCTTCGGCTCGGACTTTCCTGTTCTGCGTCTGCACTCTGACAGAGGTGGAGAGTTCTCCTCTGGCCTTCTGCGAGCCTACTGTCGTGCACGAGGCATCCGCCAGACCTTCACGCTTCCGGACTCTCCACAGCAAAATGGGATTGCTGAGCGCCGCATTGGCATGGTCATGGACGTCGCCCGTACGTCCATGATGCATGCGGCTGCCCCCCATTTTCTGTGGCCGTTTGCGGTTCGGTACGCGGCGCATCAGATCAACCTTCACCCTAGGGTCTCCATGCCGGAGACCTCCCCAGCCTTGCTGTGGACGGGGAAGGTTGGCGATGCGTCTGCGTTCCGTGTCTGGGGATCTCGGGCGTTTGTCCGCGACTTGTCTGCGGACAAGCTGTCCCCTCGTGCTGCTCCTTGCGTCTTCCTTGGCTTCCCCCCTGACGCGCCAGGGTGGCAGTTCTACCACCCCACCTCTCGCCGTGTTCTGTCCTCCCAGGACGTCACGTTTGACGAGTCGGTCCCCTACTACCGCCTCTTCCCCTACCGCACTCCGTCCCTCCCCCCGCCACCGCTCTTCCTTGTACCAGGTCCCCCCCCGGTAGACCCCCTCCCCCCTCAGGGTCCTGCCCCTTCAG